GCGCTTACATTTGATCCGCGCCCTTATCGACGTATGTTCCCCTCGAACTATAATATCACTTGACTTAGCTCGAGAGTTGCGTCTGGACGAGACGCGCGTTAGCGGAGAAAGAGGCTGTCTGTTATGCTTACGGGGAAAATATGGGCAAAACAAACGGGTAGCAACTCACGCTATTGCGCTACCCAATTTTAGCAGAATAGGCCCATCTAACAGCGCGGATGCCTCAGTGGCTGAACCGTACGCGCATATACGCTTGGTGGACCTCGCTTTTATGCGTCCGCACGGATAAGCGTGATCCTGGGAACCGACGTTTACGCAGATTACCTGGTACACTGCCCACAACATTTCGACCACTGCTCGCTAAAAGCACTATATTTGGTTGGGTGCTGTCTGGGGTTTATAGAGCGTAATTTTATTTTTTTACATACATACATTATGTCTAAATTATCATACCCAAAAATGAAAAAAATAATGAATTTAAATAAAGTGCATTTGAAACAGTAACCACGTACATTTCCTTAATTACCACTTATATTTACATCTGCATTAGAGGAAGGACGAGCTCTACCTTAATGAAGGCCGACGGTGCTGCCCGATTTTATCATTAACATTAAGACTTAGAAAACATTTCTTTGTAAAAACCATGTGCGCTTGGTAGCTGAAACGCGGCCGATATTTAGATGTTGCTTACCGCAAGGGGGCCGGGATGTTTAGGCCTTAAGCCTAAATATGTCTGAAATATCCACTAAGTTGCAAGATGATTTAAACAAGGTATATAACTGGCTGTGCTTAAACCGACTTAAATTGAACGTCGATAAAACTAAATTTATGGTTATATCAAGACGTAAGCACCAAGTTGCAGAACCTAAATATAAACAATGAACCAATTGAAAGAGTTCATTCAAATACCTAGGAATAAAAATCTATGACAAATTGAACTTTAATGAACATATTGATTACACGGTGGGAAAGATAGCCAAAAAATTATCTTTTACGCAACGAACGTGCAAATACTTAAGTAAAAGGTACAAGGCCAAGGTATATAGATCCATAATGGAACCTAATTTCATTTACTGTCCCACCATATTTTTCATAATGAGAGATAGTCAGATTTATAAATTGCAGAAACAACAAAACCGAGCTATGAGATTCATTCTTACTAAACGCTATGACACCCCTATCAGAGATATGCTATCTACTCTAAACTGGCTGAGCATTACACAACAGCTGTTTTATTATACAATGAAATTTATCACGAATATTATAGATTGCGACTTACCCGATTACTTGAAAAGCAACATTAAGTATGTCAATAATGTACATTCCATAAATACTCGCAATAGAAATGACTTTAATCTACCTGCTTACAAAACCGAAGCAGATAAATGTAACCTGTATTACAAAGGATTAAAATGTTATAATGAATTGCCAAATGAGGTTAAATCCAGCAATATGAATGAATTAAAAAAAAAATTGTTTAATTTTTGTAGGAGCCTTCCAATTTAGTGATACATGGGCAATCTTCCGGTCTACCAATCGCAATGCACATACATACGTACAAAGTATACTGTTTCCCCACGCCAACATGGTTATACCGTTCCCAAACGCATCCGTAAAGTAGCCGAAGCTCATCCCGAAACGCATCACTAGATCGAACTCAGTGCATCGCCGTTTGGATGCTTGCTTCGCACTTCATATGCATAAACGGCCTTTATACCATAGCATGTATTGATACGATTCGGAATTTGGCCACATTTTTCATCACTAAAACTGGTTGCTCATATTAGTAGCTTAAACTGTATATTTTACGTGGCTATAACGAGTATATTTTAAGAATTATGTATAAACTAGGCTTAATAAGCTGTAAGAAATAAATAAAATAAAGTAAAATAAAATATTTCCAAAAAAAATGCACCACCCTAATGTGTCATTCACATATGTGTATATTTAGGTATGCACACTTGTACACATGTATATACATATAATATATATTCGCGCCGTTAGTTTAAGTTTCCCGCCGCATAAAGTATCTTTCGTTGAATTTCCCCTCAATGTCTTTTGTTTGTCCGGCGGTTCGAACGAAAATCACAGCTTTCGATTTTTCACTTTCACATCGGGAGATCAAGGAGAAAGAACTGCAACTACCAGGCCACATTATTTTCAGGTAAAACCATTGTAAACCAACATATATACATCAATGCAAAACACTTGGACAATTAATAAAACCATTAAACTAAAACGAGTTTTATTTGTCTTTTTTTCCTAATTTTTCAAACCTCATTGTTACAACTTTGCGCACCACACTTGAGCCGCTCTGCGTCACAGTGACGTTTTTATGTATTTATCTACACAAACTACTTTTAACATAAAATATTCGAAAACCTATCTGCTCCTTCTGTCTTCAATTCATTCATTCTTTTTGTTTTTTTCTGCTTCACTCGTTGTTTCCACTTGTTGCTTGTAATCTTCTCGTTACTTCAGTTCTGCTTCGTATTTTATCCAATTTCAATTAGACTGCTACTGCTTCAATTTGAATTCTGCAACGTATTTCTATTTTTCGGCTCTTCCAATTAGATTTTCTCTTCCGAACTTCTAATTCTGCACAAATCACCTTTAGCGTCTTATCTTTGTCAACTGCCTGCAACTCAACTTCTTACTGTTCGCTTTCTACTTCAATTCATATTTTCCAATCAGATTATTGACTTTGAATTCTAGTTCTGCTTACTTCCGCTTCGCCGTGAAAAGTACTTGCGACTTTTGCACGTTACGTTTGAGTTGAGACGCCACTTGGCTGCTCTGTCGCAGCGGACTTTGCTTTTGCAATGAGATTCAACTGCCACTTCCTTGATGGCTGGAACTTTGGAACTTCAGCTGCCGCGCAATTCTCACAATATTTTACGACGCTGGCTGACTTCGCTGTGCCACTTTAAATATGACGAATGTTTGCAAATTTCGAGCAGCAGACTTTGCTTTTGCAATGTGATTCCACTGCTACTTCTTTGATGGCAGGAATTTGCGCACTTCCGCTGCCACCACAGTTCACACAATTTCTTACGACGCCGGCTGACCTCGCTGTACCCTTTATATTTGATGATAAACGTTTAGCGACGTTTATTGGTGTGCAATTCGGTTGAGTGTTTAATGACACTGTATATTCCGATGAGCACTTCGCGACACTATTTGCGGATGAGCGTTTAACGACACTGATTCCGTACAAGTATGTAGCGACAGCGAATTGTATTTATTTGAAAAAAGTTTTAAGTTAAAGGTACAAGACACGAAACTAGAGGTCACGCTGCAACTTCTCGGCTCAAAGTCAATTGTAGAACTGCCGTTTTTCGTCAGCTATTTAAACTCGGCGTTTCATCAAAAAATGTTTTAACATGCAGGGTTGTATTTTATTGGTTGTATCATGAAGGGTTGTATTTGATTGGTTCCTCCGATAAGGACAATTGTTGGAATAGTTTAATATACTCGCTCACTTCTGGTCTTTAATCCCAATCCCACATACGAAAACATCGATATTTCAATAACTGAGGACTCTAAATTACTCCAAGTTATTAATCTCTTAACAATAAATAACTCTGATATAGACTTGTAGGAATTGGGCGTGGCACCACCCACTTTATAACTACAAGGTGTATCGATTTCTACCAAACTTGGTTCAATTACATCATAAAGTCTAACTCAGCATATAATCGCAAACGTTTGAAATGGGGAAAAACACCCCAGCTCATTATTTAAAATTTGTTTGGTACACTGGTACATAGCTTTCAGATTTGGTACATTTTTGAAAAACAGAGAATTTTTACTAACATCACATATGTATGTACCTATTTATTCATTTCAAAGGGTAATTGGTGGCTGCAACATTGCAGACAGCCTTAAAACTGATTGAGAAATGGTGATAAAGTCCACTATCGTCAAGATCACCAAAAGAAGGAAAGTCAACGTGGCTCACTCTCAACCGGAAATCTCGAAGATTTAGTTGAAGGCTGCTCAAAATTTTTATATTGAAGTGGAATCACAATATATCTAAACATATATTTGTGGAAGTATGTACAGGGTCTCCGGTGGCAGAATTAGGTTTTAGTATTAAAGTATCTCCCTAACCGCTGGGCGTATGGGCGGGGAGGGCACCGCGTTAGCTTCGTCATTCGTGCGGGTTATTTAGTCACGATGTCGCAGTGGACGGGTGAGCAACGTGCGTTCGTAATCGAAGCGTATTTCAAGGCCAATGATTCGTGTGCAACTGCTCGTCGTAGATTTTGTTCACGTTACAATATTCGACGATTACGTGATGCCCCAAGTGAAAATTTGATTTGCTCATGGGTGCGAAGGTTCCGGGCAACAAGTTCGGTGACAAACAGCCCACGGCCGGGGCCCAGCCGGACATCGAGAACAAATGAAAATATTGAACTCGTCGCTACAAGTTTGCACGATAATCCTCGTCAGTCCGTGCGCAAGAGAGCGGCTGCCCTGGGACTTCCAGAAACTATTGTGCTTGAAATACTGAGGAAGGATCTTGGACTTTACCCCTTCAAAATTCAGATTGTGCAAGAACTTAAGTCTAACGATTACAATTTGCGTAAAAATTTCTGCGAGACCCTGTTGGAACGATTTCGCACGGTAAACACTATCTTTTGGAGTGATGAAGCCCATTTTCATTTAAATGGAAGTGTAAATAAGCAAAATTGTCGTTATTGGTCACCTAGAAGGCAGAACCCACTTTTAAAACATCAGAAGCCGCTTCACAGTCCCAAAGTTACCATACCATATTTTTTTGAAAATCGTGGAGGGCAAGCAATTTCTGTGGACGGTGTCTCTTATCGGCGCATGCTGAACGACTATTTTCTGCCAATAATGGGAGAACATTCTTCCTTCAGTACACACACATCGTTTCAGCAAGATGGCGCCACGCCGCACACGGCCAGAGAGACCATGGCCAAACTGCGTGATTTCTTCCCTAACAAACTGATAAGCCGTTTCGGCGACATATCCTGGCCACCAAGGTCACCCGATCTTACTCCTATGGACTTTTTCTGTGGGGATACATCAAAAGTAAAGTCTATGAAACAAACCCAGCGACATCTCAGCACTAAAAGAAAATATCGTTCGAGAGGTTAATGGCATCCCGACATCACTTCTCCAGCGAGTGGCACGGAGTACGGAGGCCAGATTTCAAGAGTGTATCCGACGTAGCGGTCAACATTTAGAGGACATAATTTAAAAAAAATAAAATCCGCACTTGTCCTCTTTGTAATAGTTATTGAAATAAAATTTTATCTTTATTAATTCTTTTTTAATTTAGCTTTTAATTCCTAATTCTGCCACCGGACACCCTGTGTATGTATGTATGTATGTATGTTTGTATGTATGTATGTGCCACGTTGCAGCCTAAACGGACGGACAGAATCGAACAAAATTTTGACAGAGTATTGCCATGACTCCTGGGCCTATAATAGGGTGAAAAATTGAGATCCTACAAGGGGGCGTGGCACCTCCCATAGGCGTGAAATTTTTAATCAACCATAACATCGGAACCATAAGTCACATGACCTTGAAATTTGGTATACAGACATATAAATGGTAGGTGCTTATAAGAGGGTATGTATATATAAATGAGTTTGTAGAAGGGGGCGTGGCACATCCCATAGGCGTGGAGTTTTTT